GCTCGGTGCCGTTCGCCCGGGCCAGCCGCTAGAAGGAGCCGTGCTCAAACAGTTGCGTCGGCTTACTCCATAGCGCAGCATGGGGCCGCTATCAAGGGAAGTGTCACAGATCAACACGCTTTACTTCTGTGTTTCAGAAGGTTTACACCTAGGAGGTTATGTATCATTTCAGTAAAATCATTGCGTTGCTGTATTTCATAGCAATTTTGAATATATTAATTTCTGTACCTTGCTGGTAGACAATTTCTATTAATTTAATGGGTGCATCCATTTGGAAGATTATTCCGCTTTAACTTGGCGAATCAACTTCAGATAGCTGCTGTATTTGGTACGTAAAAATTAATGAAATGCGTTAATAATAAATTAAATTTCCAAACCAAGGAAGCGTGCGCCAGCCTGTGGTGCAGTCTGGGCCTTTCTACTGGGCACCTTAGCCCAGTCCCCGCTCCCCTTCTGTCTGTCCCATGGCTGTTCCTGAGCATGGCCTTGTCCTCTCTTCCATTCCTAACATCACAGCTGGAGAAGCGAATTACCGATTGCAAACGTCGGTGATTATTCCTGATACTGCTTATCACCCTGGCACAAACTGACAGCGCTCCTGACTAAAACCTGCGTGTGTAAACTGTAAAACTGAATTACCAAAGGAGACCAACTGAGAATCCCCACCAGGGGATACCTTACCAACATCCAGCAAAAGACAATTCCTGCCTCAAAATACTTCCAATCTACATAGAAATGAGCACCAAATCACGGAACCATATTTAATCTTACGAGGAGGAAAATGTTTTTCCAAGATGTTTAGCAATCTTTTCCACCTTCCCTTCATTTTCCCATTACTTATGTAAAAAGTTCTCACAATACTGTTACGATCAAAACAGCGCAGACTCCCAACCATTGTAGATGCAGCAACAGCCATCTGCATGGCTGTTACACGACTAAAACGTAGGTGTGCGGAAAAAGGCGTTAAGTAGTATAACCACTTTACTTTGGAAAAATGCACACAATACATTCACGCCCTTTCAGTAAGTTTTCAGTTTTTCTCCTAGAGATGCATCTAAGAGGTATGAGCCTCGAAACAACAGTTCCTCTTGTCATGGCTACCTCCCGTGAGACAGACTGACTGACTCCTGAGGCAGGGCCCATGAATTCTAGTTTAAAAACCACTGACTAACTCAGGCTTGAGAGAAAGGCAGGTTGGGGCGGTGGTTTCGGAGGAACTGCGAGTGAACCAGCATGCTTCCTGCTCACAAAGACTCTTTCTATTGCTTTGACTGAGGGTGCTGTAAAAAGAGTATTTTTCTGTTTTGAGCACAGTCAGGAGTCTCAAGTATTCCCATTTCTAACTGATTAGTCCCAAAACTTGATTGTTTTAACATACAAGTGTTTAAATTACTATTTAAGGCAGTCTCACCTTGGAAACACAACATACAGAAAAGACTATCTGGTAATATTTGGAAAGATACCAGCACATCCTGGTGTTAAATCTGTCTTTTTGAGAGAAAAATACTGCAAAGTTACCTTTTTATGAATGCTCCCCACTTCAACAACTGCAAGCTTTTCAGAAAGAAGACTCTGGGGAAAAAAAAAAACTACAAAAACTTCTGCATAACTGTCCACCTACAAAAAACCCTAGAAAAAAAAATCTTAAAATAAGTTTAGTTAAGGTATTTGAGGAGTTCAGCCTCTGCTTTTCGGTCATTAATAAATAGGCTAGTGCTCATTTTCCACTTCAAGTATATTTACCTCAGGTAAATGCTCATCACCACTTGATACTTGTACAACTTCTGTACTTACTGCTCTGTAATGATCTATGGGAAACTAAAAAAAACATTATGTGGAAGTGGATCCAAATGTTTAAGCAAATTTGAATGTCTGGGGTGGGAGAAACTGGCCAGGAAGACGTATCTGAGAAATTCATACTGTACCTTTCCTACGAAAAATTTGGCTCTGTTTTAGACCACAGCTCAGTACAGCACTGTAGGTCTGTGCTTCCTTTCAAACATATGGATTAGATTCACTGATGTCAGCAGGACTTTCCACATTTTAAACTGAAGTACGTATTCAAGTATTTTTCTTTTGGGGCCAACAGATCATTTCCTGTTCCCAAGGTTATATAGAACGTTCCCCACAAAAAGCACCAAAAAAGAAAAGTAAACCTCTGCCTCAGCACCCCGCTTCGTCCGAGCCAGCAAGCGCTCTTCATGCAGGGGTATCTGGGCAAAAAATAGGCTTTACACAGTGTTTGAGTCAGGTTGAACTCAGCAGTGAGCTCTGCCAGCACTCCTGCATTCTCTCATGCTCAGGAATAACTTTACCCTCCTGGGCAGCTGCTGAGAATTAGTTCTATCAGAGGAAATTGTTTTGTGTGCATGAGCATTTGTAGTATCAATCTTACCCTTTTTATACCCCCCAGTCTGGTACCCGTCCGCTGTGTGTGGCTCCACTGCCCGTACCTCACCTCCCTACAGTTAGCACTTACATTTGTATGTATTTTAAACATCATGAGAAGATAAATTTAACTTACAATGACCATTTATTTAAAATTACCTCTACTTTTTTTAGCTGGGGTGTAATGTCATGCTAGCTTTCTGAGACAAGATATGCTGTGATGTAATGCATGTATATATACATATATATTTTACTTCCCCAGGCTGGAATAAAAGGTGAACAAGCTGTTTCATAGGTATATATCTGGAGAAGAAGAAATGATGGCAATTGTCTTCCATTCAACCTAGAAGAAATCTGTGCTGATTTAAGTACTCTTAGGATAGTGCAATATAGTACCTACTTACAAATAATTATTTATGTTCAAAATTCTTGGCACAGAAAGAAGATGGGTCACAATGCAATTTTAGAGCACTGGATTTCAGAAACAGTTTTTTTGCCAAACCAGAGAGGCCAGAAGGCTGAAAGGAAAAATTAGAAAAGTAAGTTATCTGAGAAGTTACTCAACATTTTGAACTGGGGAAAAACCATCATCAGAGGAAGGTCTCTCCCATCTTTTGTACTTTTTATGGAAGATGAATACAGTTGAGGGGAAGAGCAAAGCCCAAGATAGTTATACTTTTTTGTTGTCCATTTGGACCAAACCATCTGCAGAGATTGCTAGACAATCATTAGAGATGACTCCCGGTCTGTGTTTCAGTTCAGAAGGCTCGACTCCATTACTGCATTTCCCTGCAGCCACTAACTGATATATGTGAACCAGTCTGAAATAAAACTTTTACTTCGTTTTGCTCAAGGTAAGCTCACTGAAGGTAAACATACAGGTCCATCCCAAGTAACCCGTCAGCAAATCCCTCTGCACTATAACCAAATAGTCTCATATTGTGTCTAAACCTGTGGGTCCCAACACGCACAGCGCTGCTCTGTGGGGGAAAGCACTGCTTCTTTGTGGGAAAAACAACGTGCCCTAGGACAGGAGGTACGAACGGAGGCACCCTGGAGCGCCGGAACCCTGGCGGGTTTCAGTCTGGTGGCGGGGTGGAACAGCCCTCGGAACTCTGTGACACCTCTGCTGTGTCACAAGGCACCGCGCAGCCCCAGGAAGGGTGGCAGAGGCCCTGGGGCTGCTCAGAGCGGCTGCAGATGCTGGACAGCCCGAGGGCGGCTGCCTGAGCCCAGGGCAAGATGGAGTTTCTGGGGACCACGCAGCTAGCCAGTTACTGTGGCACAAAGAAGAGCTGCCTGTTCCCAGACATAGCTCCCACCAGCACCACCAAGGACACCTATCAGCCCTACTACCTACCAGGCTACCGCTACCTCAGCTCCTGGAGGCCCAGTCCGCTTCACAAAGTGGTTCCGGTCCCTCCCAGCTCTGAAAAGCAATTTAATCCCACTGGGCGGCCGCCCACTATTCTGCCCGCATCACGCTCTACCCTACATGCCCGCTACAGCACTCGTGACTGGCACCATGCGAACATGGTTCAACTAAAAGGCTCTGAAGCCTCCAGGTACTGTGCTGGTAGACTGAACACTGATTCAATGAGACTGATGCAAGATAAGGATCAACTGACTTATCAGATGCAAGAAGACAGTAGAAGAAACCTGGGACAGAGGATCTCTAACATTGATTTCTGGAGATGTGAGCTCAGCTATGAGCTAGAATGTCTGCTGAAAGAGACCCAAGCCTTGGAAAAAGCAAAGCAGCGGCTCAAATGTGCTGCAGATGAAATGCAAGGACCACTGAAGGTACGTTTGACATAGCTAGTTATTTCATGACTGTACTGCGGAATGGGTGAAGAAAATGGCTTTCTCTCTGTTGAATACTAGTGAGACCAGCAAGATCAAGACATCTTGCTGAAACATGACCTTCAGTAAGAAGGAAACCTGGCCAAAGACCACAAAGGAACCTATCAAGGCATTTCTATGCCCTCTTTTCCTTCCTTTCTGCTTGAGGCTCCAGGAGGCTGAGTCTCCCTCAGGCACTGGGCGGTCAGCTCAGTACACTACAGGAGAGCTGAAGATGGCCCTCTAAGCTGCAATATCCTGATATTCTTATCTAGCTCTGAATTTTATGCTATTGCTTGGTGAAAATAATATTTTCACTTAGGAGGGCATATAATTTGTGCTACATTTTGAACTCCTCCAGAATCTTAAAGGCAAATTAATTGCAATAGAAAAAGCCACAGTAATATAAGAGTCAATGAATGATGCTAGCAAAAACTCAAAACACACAAAAACTAGAGTAAAACTTCTCTGATAAACATCTGGAGTATTGCTGACGGAAGCTACGTCTATCAGAAATGTTTCTAGGCAAGTGCAATAGAAAACCAAAATTCAGTATTCAGTAATGACATTTTTAGTTGTCTGTATCCATACTGATTCAGAGTGGCAGGCTGAGGATGCTTTCTATTCAGGGAACATTCTCTGCTGAAAGGCTTTGTGCCAGCTAATGCTGTTTCATTTTTTTAGTATGGTTCTAAACAAGTAGATGAGACATTAACAGTAAAGTTAACCTGCTGGGGCAGGTTAACTGAATTCCCTATTCAATGAATGCAGTCATTCTCTTGTATGGGTATGAAACTTCCAAACGTTGGCATTGGGTAAGGGAGGATTGAGGGGAGATGAGATTAAAGGATTTTGCTATGGATGAGTATAGAACACCACAGGTGTTTTAATCCACACAATTTACAACAAAGCTTGGGCATGTTGAGATAGGCCTTGCTGCACATTAATAAGCAGCTAATCAAATGGCAGCTATGGTGGCGGCTAATCCTTAAAAGTATGTATTAACAGGTAAGTAGGAATGAGCCACTAAGATGGATCAGTACGGCGCAATGAAGCCACCTCCGTTTGTGTTCCACCCTCAATAGGTGGTCATTACTTGACATGTCAGCTCAGTGGCCCCTTCAGCAAGGTTCAAGGTTTCACTCCACAATGCAGTACTGAGCCTATTGCAAATGTTCCTTGGTTTGCTTGCAGATAGCCCTAGAATGCTTGTACCACCGTGAGAATCGGCAGGGTATAGACTTAGTTCATGATGATGTGGAAAAGAACCTCATAAAGGTAAGATCAGTTTATTTTTCAAACTGTGGAAATAACTAAAATCCAACTAAATACTTACATGGGTAAACACATTGCAATAATTTCTTCCTTTCATCCATCTGGAAGACTGAGGGGATGGAAAGAGGAAGAAATTACGTAAAACTATGTATACTGGGGACGGTTAATGTTCTATTCTTCCTTCCTGAAGCAAAAGGAATAGCCTAGCATCCTTGTGAGGTCTTGTCCAGTTCTATCTTCCCTGATCCTATAAACCAAGGTGGAAACATTTCTCAAGATTGTTTTCTGGGCCATGGTCTATAAAATCTCAGAAGTTCTTAGGGCTTACAATATAATATGCTGGTTTACTGTCTTACTATATACATACAGTGTTATTGAACAAAAAAATTAGATGGAGAGTAGCGATTGCTAAATCTTTTAAATAAAAAACGTCAAATAACATTTTACTAACATACTTGAAAGAAGTTATATTGGATGTGTATGAAAACAAAAATACCAGGAAAGAATGCTGAGTAATTCCAATTCAGTATTTTAAAAATAATGTTTTAGAATCATAGAATGGTTTGGGTTGGAAGGGACCTTAAA